CTGCTGCTGCTGCTGCTGCTGCTGCTTGCTCCGCCGCTTCTCAGGCTTGTCACCTGCTGCTGGTTCGTGCTGCTGCTGCAGCAGCGCTCGCAGCAGGGCCGTCTTAACCAAGGGAGAGAGGCAGCTAAAAGCTTTACACAAGACATCTGCATCAGCAGCAGCTTTTGCTGCTGCTGCACCCGCAGGTGCTGTTGGCTGCATGTACTGCAGCAGCTGCAGCGCAGCAGCTCTTTGCTTCTCCCCCTGCTCCTTCAGCAGCTCAAGACACAACCCAAACAGCACAAAGCGGCAGCAGGGACGCTGCAGCTCACCCGATGGGGGCCCCCTGCTGCTGCTCTCCATGGGGGCCCCCCAGGGGGCCCCCAGGGGGCCCCCCACGGGCGCCCCTGAAGGGGGCCCCAAGGGAGCCCCTGAGGGGGCCCCTGAGGGGGTCCCCAGAGGACTTTTGGGGGGCCCCTGTGTCGAAGGGCCCCTGTGTAGCAGCAGCTGCACAAACAATGAAGACAGAGGAGCCACAGCAGCCATTTGCTGCAGCTGCTCCTCCCGCAGCAGCTGCAGCAGGCGCCATAGGAGCCACTGCTGCCTCTGCTGTTGCTGCTGCTGCTTCTGCTGCTGCTGCTGCACATGGCAGTCAGAAAGCAACTGCTGCATGCAAGGAAGCCTCCAAATGAGGGGTCCGAGGGAAGAGAGGCCCCAACTTAGTCCTTCTGCTGCTGCTGCTGCTGCTTCAGCTTCTTGTGTTGTTGCTGCTGCTGCAGCTGCTGCTCCTGCTGCTGAAAAACTGTCCACATTGTCATGCAGCAGCGTACTGATGCAGAGCCCCAACGGCCTCTCCAGGAGATATATGTCTTGCTGCTGCTGCTGCTGCTGCTGCTCTGTTTGACACTTGATGGATTGCAGCAGAGCTGCACGAGGGATTTCTGCGGCCGTAAAAGCAGCAAATTCCTCCAGAGCTGCTACAGCGCTGCGTTTTTCCAAGCTCATGCCTACTGCTGCTGCTGTTGCTGCTGCTGCTGCTGCTGCTGTGTCTTCTTTTGCTGTTGCTGCTGCTGCTTCTGGCTGACAGAGATCCCGTAGAAAGCGGCGGGCGTAGCAAAGCGTCACAGCAGAGCCAGGGCCATCCGGCCGCTCCTTATGCTGCTGCTGCTGCTGCTGCTGCGTGCGCAGTGTCCAACACTTGCAAAACAGTGCTGAAGGACAGGCCACTACTTCCCCGAGGTTGCTGCTGCTGCTGCTGCCGCTGCTAGTTTCTTGCAGATAGAGCGGAGACAGAACGAGAAGAATCTGCTGCAGCAAGCGGCAGAGCCGCTGAAGCTTACCCTCTACGCCGCTGGATTGGTGCTGCTGCAGCAGCAGCTGCTGCTGCTGCTGATGCAGCAGGTTAAGCCACCAGCAGCAGAGCTGCGCATACACAACAGCAGCAGCAGCAGCAGCAGCGGGAGACAGCGCCAAACCGTTCAGGGCCGCCTTCGGTGTCTGTATACCTGAAGCTTTCGAGACTACTCCTTGAATGTCTCCGCTTGCTGCACCAGACCTATTCTGCGTCTTTGGCGCAGCAGCAGCAGTTGCTGCAGCTGCTGCTGCTGCGTGCGGCGCCGCTGCTCCAACCTTAGCTGGGGTCCGGAGCTTCGTGAGACTGTCTGCTGCTTGCATCAAAGCGGAAGCTAAACTTTGGAGACTTTCAAGCTGCCCTTCAGAAGCAGCAGCAGCAGCAGCAGGGGTGCTAGCAGCAGCAGCAGCAGCAGGTCGCAATGACGCAGCACGACTTTGGGCGTCAAGGTGCTGCCTGAAGTGAGCCCCCCAAGTCTCCAACACCCATTCCTTTCCGAAGCCTACATTGCTGCTGCTGCATATGTCTGCAGTAGCATTTGTTGCCGTTGCTGCTGCTGCTGTTGCTGCTGCTGCTCCTACTGGCTGCTGAGCAGCAGCAACGGCAGCAGCTGCTGCTGCTGCATCAGCAAAGAGCGAATCGAGCGCGTCCTTCACCTCTGCTGGCTGCGACCTTCTTGAGCCCTGGGGCCTGGCAGGCCCAAGCTGCAGAGCGGCACAGGCAGCAGCAGCAGCAGCGGGTGAGTTGCTGCTGCGCAGCAGCAGCTGCAACGCCTCAACGAGGAACAAATCGCCCGAATTAAGGGCCTCACGAGTGGAAGCGGCCCATGCACAGCTGAATTCCATTGTTGCGAGCCGCCGCGCCAACCCCCAAACCCTAAACCCTAAACGCTAAATCCTAAACCCGTGAGCCCTCACTATCGAAACGAGGTAATTCGTACATGTTGAAGCACAGGCATGCGTTAGTGAGTCTCCGCCGGGCACATCAGTTATAATCAGCTAAAGTTAATGGTTTAGAACACTTAAAACTACTCCAATTCAAACAATGGAAACAGACAAGAAGGCCTACAGCGAGGGGTCCCAGCCCTCGAGAGCCAACCCACTAGACCCTGCAGCAACGTATTGCCTCCCTAGATGCCTAAATAGCTGAAACAAAAATTAAATTGGAAATTAATAAAGTACTTTATGAATTTCAATTATCTGTGGGGCGGCTTACTGCCGCTGAGGCGCAAAAACGGAAACACTGAACATGAGTGATCTCACATTTGAATATCTTTGGAGCAGTTTCTGGTTTCGGTTGCTAACCGCGGGAAACCCGCAGCTTATAAGCAGCCAATTTCACTTCCCTTTACATAAATAGTGGCTGAGTTTGCCCTAATTAAGGAATATTCCATCAGGTTTTCATTGGACTTGAAGACAAAGCTGCTCCCGAGGCACAGAAGTCTACTGCAGATTAGCTTGGGCTACACAGCGAACTCGCGCTGCAGCAAAGCTTTCTTTTTAGTTTTGCTGCACAAGCCGCAGACAGCCATCTGCATTTGGCCTTCTGGAACTACGCCACTCAAAATAATTCTTATATGAGCAGCAGAGTATTAAGTTTGGCTGGGGCTTGCTGTACACAAGAGGCGAACGCGGCTGGAAAGCCAGCACAGAAAAGTCCCTCAAAGCCGTTTTCGATTCAGAAAAAGCCTTTCTAAAGTCCATCGTTTAGAGTTTAGGGTTTAGGGTTTAGGGTTTAGGGTTTAGGGTTAGGGGTTTTGTCCCAGCATTTATGGGCCGTCGCAAAATCCAGGCGAAGCCTCAAAGGACTGCCAGACAAGGCTGCTGCTGCATAGTTGCAGAGGAAAACACTTCAATTTAGAAGATCAAAGAAAAATAAAAGGAAGTAATTGAAGCTGCATGCATTCCGGAGCTTCTGCTTCTTCTCAAGTGCAGTTGAATGCTGCCAACGGCAAATAAGATTCCCTTCAAGAAAGACAGTGCAGCAAAGTGCAGAAGTGATGAAATGCATGCGCAGCTTTGCTGCAGACACTTGTGCTTTAAAGGAGCTGGACTTCTGCCTCCAACTCTCTCGCGAAAGCAGAAGACCGCAGAAAGCCCAGTAGTGTGTGGCACTGCGGCACCGCTGGAGCGCAGCAGCTGCTGCAGCAGCAGCTACTTCAGCAGCTGCTGCCTCAGCAGCAGCTCATTCATCAGCACCTGCTTCAGCAGCAGCAGCAGCAGCGCCTTCAGCAGCAGCTGCTTCAGCAGCAGCTCCAGCTACTTCAGGAAGAGAACAGATCAGCATCTGCAGCAGGGATTGGCTCAAATTCAAAAAAAGAGAATCTTGGCTTCAGGCTTAGTCCAGCAGCTCGTTTCGCTGCTATTTAATGTAATTTTTGTCAATTTAATTCATTCTTTCACTCCTGACGAACTCGTTGCAGCTAAATGAGTCAGAAAGCCATCCTTCTCACCCCGAGCTTCCGAAGCGCACTTTGCTGCTTAACGGCTGCTGCAGCAGCAGCAGCAGCAGCAGCAGCAGCTCTCAGCTTTTCAGCTTCCTCAGCAGCCAGCAAAGCTGCTGCCACAGGGGCCTTCTCAGCAACGGGCATAGACACTTCTGCAGCTGTTCAGAAACTCTTCAGTTATGCCTCAACAATTTATTTTGCTGCAACTCAAAGATAAACCCAATGACAGCTTCCTGTGAGGCTCAACAAATAGACCTTTATATATCTTTGAGAGTACAAAAGTAATTGCAGCAAATAAGCCTTTATTGAAAGTATAAAAGTAACTGCAGCAAATAGATCTTTATATACCTCTGAAAGCATGAAAGTAATTTCACTTTCATTCACTCATTGAGCCTCAGTGTGCTTCGCAAATCTTTACTAAATTCAGATTGAAGTGATTTATAGATTTAAAGCCTCGAAGAAGTTTTTTCTCTTCAACAAAGACAGCACAGCACTTTGGTTACTGTTGCGTCTTTTTGCATGCATTTCTTTTATTTCCAGTTTCCCAGTTTTCGAGTTTTCCTTTCAGAAGGACTTCTGCAAGCGAAGCATATTATAAATGCAGTAATCCGAGAAAATAGAAAAGATGAAAAAAAGTGCAAAAGGGTTCATTGTTTTCTAGGGTTCACTGAACTTTTAAAAATAATCCAAAAATGCTTTAACTTCAACAGAAATGCAACAAGAAATGCTTTTGTTTCCAAATGCCATGACGGCTGGCAAAACTCGAGGTGTGTCTTCTCTTCAGTTGCAATATTCAAAAGTGCCTTTTATTTATTTATGGATTTTTATTTATTTATTTGATTTATTGAATTAGTAATAAATAAAAGTTGGGGCACTTGAGTAGACCTTGAAATTTTTCCTTTCAAATTCAAATTAAGTTTTTCGAACTGCGCCGTCTGAAGGAACGCTGCAGTTCGAAAGGCCGGGGTGGCCCCGGCTGGGATGCAAAAGGAAAACAAAATAGCAAAAAAGAAGTGTTGCATGTATTGACGAAGACCTAGAAAGAAAGGAAGTGCAGCGCTTGCGGGGTGTTTCCGCAAGTTCAAATTCAAGTTGAGAAGTGGAATTGGGAATGTTGCGCAGTCACCAGAAAACGTGCTGGGAGGAGAAGTGGAAAGTCGAAGGAAATTCGGAAGAAAAGAGCAATGCAGGGTTCACGAGACTGCGCAAAGGGCGTTTCCGGCGAAATTCAAGAGAACAAAAGTGAGCGGAGAGGCTACAGGAGAAAGCGCGCAAGTGCGTATACACTCGAGGTGTCTAGACCCCGGGGCCCCCACTTGGAAAGCCGGAGGTTCGCAGCCTTCGCGTTTGCGAAACTGTGGATCATAAATTTGATTTCGTAGTACTGCTCCTTCGCAAATTCGAAAGCGCTCTCCGAGTTCCAGTTGTTCCCCAAGGAAGACACGAGCTTCTCCAGCACCTCCTCCGAGCGCAAGTCGTAGCCGAAGCCGCCGCGCGTGGAAAGCACGAAGAGTGCAGCGTCGAATTCCTCCTTTGCAAACAAAAGAGGAACTGGAGGAACTCGGGGGTACTCCTCTTCGCTGTCGACGCCGAGGACTTGCAAGAAGGGGCGGAACTTGGCGAAAGTTCGGAAGTAGCAGTCCCGCACCATGAAGTTCAAGTTCACCAGGTTCTCCACCAGCTGCGCCAGCCGCCGCGGCACCTTTTCCCGCGGGAAAGCCCGGCTCCGCACGCCCAAGTCCTGCAGCAGCTGGTCCAGCGAGTGACCACTGGTCTGGTCCGCCCCCGGCGCCGCCAGCGCCTCCAGCTCCGCCTCCGAGCCCGTCCCCAGCAGCCCCACCGGCACCCCCGTCGCCTCGTGCAGCTGCTCCATGTCCCCCAGCGCCTTCAGCACTTCTGCTGCGCCGCTACACAGCCCCTCCATCAGCAGCAGGTTCAGTTTGTAGAGCGGCAGCTCGCGGGGCTCTGTGGGCACCGCCAGCGCCTTCGCCGCCTCCACGTGCCGCCGGTACTCTT